CTCCACCACCTTCTCCCTTCTCCTCCAGCTTCTCCCTTCTCCCCTTCCTCATTCCTAGCCATATTGATTCTTCTACACGGCCGCCGTGCGTATAGTCTCGGCCATTATTATTAGGCAGTGGCTACGGGTACGGTAGCCGTATCTTAATGTCTCGAGGCTACGGGTACGGGAGTCCATTCGCTTTCATATTAACGAGACAAAGATGGCGGTGGTGGCGCCAGATTTCCAAATAACGCCTTGGGAAATAAATTCACGATTTGAGAGTTTAGATGACCTAGAACCCTAACCCTAACCCTAAACCTAACCCTAACCCTAACCCTAAACCTAACCATAACCCTAACCATAACCATAACCCTAACCCTAACCCTAATCCTAACCCTAACCCTAACCCTAACGCCAAAAAGGGGCTTGAACGACCGACGGCTACCGTACCTCCAGCCACTGCATTATTATTAGGCAATGCTAACTCAATACGAAATCTATTTACTACCAAATTCTTAATGTGTCTATACTCTCTTTCACCGTCCAAATCCTACGTGCAACCATACGCTGCCTTATCTACCATATCCTTATTATTAATATTTATTATACTTATACTTATAGGAATACTACTCAGTACTAGTACTAGTCAGTGAAAAAAATACACGGGGGCTCGGGGCGATTTAGCCCCCGAAATGCCAAAAAGAGCCCCGGAAATGGCAAAAAGAGCCCCCGGAAATTTGCATAGAGTTAAATGCAAACCAAATTTTAGAGTGCTATTTTCATGCACGCGAGCTTGAAAAGTAGCCCCCAAAAAATAAATTTTAATTTTTTCCCTTGTACTACTAGTAGTACTACTAGTAGTAGTAGTAGTACTACTACTAGAACTACTACTACTACTACTACTACTAGTACTAGTGAGTAGTGAGTTATACTTATACTTATAGTTTAATACAGTTATAGTTATACTTATTTATAGATATACGTTTTATACTTTATACTACTAGTAGTATACTATTACTACTAGTAGTAGTACTATACCGCACCCTATAATAGTACTATTCTCTGAGCCTTATTACTATAGTTATACTAATTCCATGTAAATCCAATGCTGTTCAAATCACAGGCACTTGGAACGTCTCAATAAAAAAATAATAACGTAAACACGAAATGTACTACCAAAGTCTACTCCCTACCCTAGACTAGTGTTTCTCTACTGTAAAGAGGACGTACGGTATCATCCGAAAATCCCTAACGGCGCTACTTTTGATCGATCACCGTAGTCGTGTGTGTGACGTCATATCTGTGCGCATTATGCTTGGCTTGGCGGGCCTCGAAACGGAGGCTTGGAGGCAGGCAGCAGCTCATCCCGGCATGCAATGTGCCCCATTACTCGTGTATAAACAGACACCTCGTCCTCTTTACATTTTCACGGAGAGAACATTTCCTGCAGGATTTCACGAGATATCTCTGGCGGGAGTAGGTAAGAACAAAGAACAGAGTTATAATTCGAACAAGTGAACATTTAGCTACACATAGATACCAAGATGGAAGCTGTTGGATGTGTTTTCGTTCTGTAATCGTATGAAATGAAGCGAGCGTCGAGCGAATTTTGCGATCACGCTTTCCTACCTGCTCTCTTATTCATGTTGTTTGTGCACAGGGCAAGCGTGCGGTGTACTTGTGTGTTGCAGGTGAGCATTTGACCGGCATTTACGGGTAATTATCGGCAATAATAGGCGAAATAAAGTAGAGAAACATTAAGACTTTGGTAGTACATTTCGTGTTTACAGTTTTTATTTTTTATTGAGACGTTCCAAGTGCCTGTGGTTCAAATACTCCTATGCAAACTTTCATGCAGTTTCAATGCATGCATACCACTGCGTGAAAACTCACAGAAAGGTAAATATGTCTTTCTGTTGGTTTGTGCACGGTTTATTTATCATCATTTTATTATTGAAGCATTCCAAGTGCATGTGCTACTGACATTGATAGTGATAGAACATGCCATCGACAATGCTCCTTGATTGACGAAGCATTCAAAATCAGGAATGATATAAGTAATATTATTATCTACTAAATAAATTCAAACAATGGTGCAGTATTTCTGGGACACACATCACTTAACCGATAAACTATACCACTTTCCTAACTCCGTCAGTAATCTAATAGGGTGGCGCATTATAGGGTACAGAAATCGTGGAGTTAAGAATGTGTTATCCTACTGCATACTGACTATTTTTATCCAATATCTTCAAGTTAATATCTGAATTGAAACCGCACACTCTGGCATGCTGTGTGCTCGATGCAGATTGAACCATGTGCACCGCAATAGCTGTTGTTGTTGCTGTGCGCAGAGTGTAAGTCGATCTGTGGATGTGTGTTTCTTGTAACACTATAACGATTCAATTATGTATTCATGTACTCCAATTCTATTATACCCCAGGCTTTCGTTTTTAAAACGATTATTGCGAGAATTTTGCTCAGAAAAACGAAATATAGCTGAATATAGTCTCACCTGACAGCGAAAATATCACTGATTTCACCAACATTCAAAACACCAATATTTTATGCAGTTATAACATAGAAAAATTGATTTGACCACATCATACCAGCAATAAATTTTTTCGAGTCAGGACTTTCAAAAATCACAAATGGCGTCTCAAACAAGCGAACATAATTAAAAAAAAGGGGCATCTATTTGTGTGTGACAAGTATTCTCGCTGGCGGTATGCAACGAGGATTTGATCCACTTCTCTCTCCGTCTTCGTTATAGTCCCTAGGACTTTTGAAGACTAATATTTATGAGGTTACAACTTACACTCTTGTTTGTGTTACGCTACTATATGCACCTCTGTGTTTACATCTGACCAAAAATATCTCCGGTGCGAATTTGCATTACTGTACCCTTGTTGACGTCTCGCGGTACCGCGAGAAAGTGCGAGACATGACAGCAAAAATCAACAAGAGAACGCAAAATTGTAATCGTGCATGATTTTGTCTTTGCATGCGGTTCTAAGACATTTTATTGTTATTTCAAACAATTACTGTTACTCAAGCAACAACGGTAGGCATCATGAGAGTGAGAATAAACACTAAAAAACGCTGAAAAAAACTCGCAATGATCGCTTTAAGGGGCGCGATCCGTGTACCCGAAATTGTGCCCTGGTGAGTGCATCATCACGCCTCATAAAAGTGGTTGAAATATCACGCACCAAAAGTACCTTACTACTTACTAGTAATACTGGCAATGCCACCTGTCACAATTATTAGCTCATCTGACATAGTCAGATGCAGCTTGTAGAATCGCATGATCGTCCGTGCGTCCGTCCGTGCGTCCGTCCGTGCGTCAACAGTTGGGCACAAATCTTAACCGCTTGACGTACGGTCACGATATTCGGGTCGTTGGGGGGTAATCCGAAAACGAGTTGGGATGTCGAAGCTGGGGCGTCAAAGGTCAAGCGTCACAGCAGGTGTAAAAAAGGAAGGAAGGGAACATTCCTCTTAACTTAACGTATAGGGAGGAAATGCAGAATTGCGGCACAAATCTAAGATGCGGGTTTCATTCGCGCTGGGTCGACCTAGGCTCGTGATAGTTGGTGTAATAGCATCATTGTAGGAAAAGTCCATCACTTGTGCCGAATATGTGAGGTCACAGGTTCAAAGGTCAATTAGGGCACAGGGCAGATTTTAACATTTTCCTGAGGACATGTCTGCGGAGCCGATTGAAAACTTTTTTGTTTCAGCGGTGACCTAGCATTTTATGGCTTTATTGAAGGACGGATGAAATGCTCCCTTCTGCTGACCATGTGAGAGTAAGTGCTGGATAAACCTTTTGACCTTCCTCAAGAGGAGGGTTTAAACATGGATTTGTTGACTGTTAACAAAGGAACGCTGAACTGCTTTTGCTATTAGAGCCCCCCTCCCCCACCCTCCCCCTTCCCCTCCCCCACCCCCTCCCCCCGCCCCTTCCTCTGAGTATGTTTTCTGCTGTGACGTGAAACAAGTCGTAGGGCTGGAGGGGCTACATACGTAGCTATACTACGTTACAAGTAATTTGGCTAGTTTGTTGATTATTTGATGATGATATTTCGTGCTGAAATATGCAGGTACATGGATTAGAGTCTCTAAGGATGAAGATCAGAATAAATAAAACAAGTTTATTTTTACATCCGATAACTCTTTTATTAATCTGTTGTCTAGTGTTGGGTTGTTGGATGAAAAGAATGTAATCATGACGAAGCCATTGAATGAATGAAGGTGAAGATGAATGATAATCAGTGGATTGACATGACATCCCAATTTTTGTTTTGGATTTCACTCTAGACTGAGGATTGGTCATGATTCCATCATGACACCCCAAGAGGCATGATGGAGAGCCCTCAAGGAGCTCCCCATCATCCCTTTTAAGGGTGTGATTTTTAGTGGAGCTCTCCATCATGCCTCTTAACGGTGTGATTTTTTAGTGGAGCTTTCCATTATGCCTTTTAAGGGTGTGATTATATGGAGCGTGAAAAGACCCCCTATGGTGTCTTAGGGGAGTCATTAGTAGTCCTCCTGTACTTTTCAAATCTGGAAGCTTGATACCCTACTTAATTATTCCAGTGGAGACCCAATGATCATGCTTATGATACTCTCAGTGACTGTGGCAGGTGGGAAAGCTGAGGAGCCTGATTTAAGCACTTGCTAGATTACACATGATTACTCATTAAATCAAATACCAATCAGATCTATACTTGAATCTGTGTTAAAGCCGAGTAATCAGTTGTTAAAATAACGTTATAAATTGTACTCCTACTTTACCACGCAATACTGTGAAAACATGAATACGTCTACCCAGATAGATACGTGTTTGTGAAGCATATTTTGGTTATGGTAGTTACATTATTCTATAAAAACAATCGATCATATATATATATATATATATATATGACATAAAGCTGCAACACCTCCAATTTGTACAGCAGTTGTCAATTAGACAATTGCCATTATTAACCACTGATAACATCTATCCATTGCAGCTAAATGGCATCTGTGTGCAGTTTTCGACCAATTGGTCTATACGTTACTCGGTGGGCCATCGTCCGGCACACCGGCAAGCCACGCATTGGGGTGAAGGAAACTCATCGACCACATATCAAGAGAGGACAGATAATTAAAATGGCAGAGCCAGTATATCCAGGTAAGTGCAGCTGCAGTGTAGATGCATTGTATTTTGTGTGGTTGCATGTATGGTCAAGCATCTTAATCTTCACTTTAGACTAGCAGTTTGTGGATCACATTCGTGAATACTATAACAAGTAATGGAGCATTGTTCATTAATCAGTGGTTCTGAGAGTGGTACATATCTAGAAAGGATACTAAAGTTTACTTACAAACACTTACAAACCAAAGTTTTCGTAAATAAAGAGGGACACTCTATATTCTGCAGTGTCTGGTTGCCAATGACAGAATTTATAAATGTAGCTTGTCTTTTGCAGAGGACATTCGCGTGGATGCGGAGCGTTGCACCAGGCGGAGAAAGTTAATCGAGATGATAACTGAGAAAAATACGAAACCAACCCAGTATGAGGCTTTTCTTGCCGGCCAGGTCTACAAGACTTTCGAGGAGAATGAATTGGTTGCCGTCTTCCACAAGATGCCGGTGTCCAATCGAGATTTCTACGCCATCAGGCTTCAATTGCACAAGGCCGGCTTTGCAACGTCTTGGTTCAACAGCAAGGTGCTACGGTGCGCAGTTACAGACACAAAATATGCCAACTTGTTACCACTGTTTACATCAATGTGTGTGCTGGTCAGCTGCAAGGAGTCTAAGGTTGGAGAGCTCATTAAGAATACAAGGCGACAGTCGAATCTCTACCTGCTTGGTGGAGTCGTTGATAAACAGATAGTCAGCCTGGCCGACATGAAGAGATATATGGAGCTGTCGAGTATGGACTCAGTCAGATCACAGTTGTGTGCCATTCTGAACATGGCTGCCAGTAGAACAACTAATTTGCTGAGTAGCCACCAGTCGCAACTCTCCAGAAACCTGGAGCAGTACGTCAAGCAGGAAACAGCTGGCTCCACCGAGGAGTCTGATGGTGGCAAAAGTTGACTCGAAAGATCAATAATATGACAAATAATGTCGCCCAATGTCTTATAATTATTCCAGGCACGTAAATAGTTCCCAGCCACATTCTATTATTACCAGAATATGATAAATTGGTATTATCAGAAATACACAAACCTAAGTCGCTATGCAATTCTACTCTACTCCATAGGATCAGGAGCGCTATAGGATCAGGAGCTCCATAGGATAGGATATACGCTCCTGATAGGATCTACCCACGTTTAATAGGCTATAATCTAATGTTATGATTCATTAACAGTTATTGCAGTAATAAACAATTAGGTATGATTTAATTTTACCCAGTAATTTATTGCAGGTTTTCTTACAAATTGTTACAAAATTACACCACTAAAATAAATTTTATAGATGGCTTCAATATCAGCTAATGCATACTACAGTACATTGAGCTTGGTTTTTATACAACAACATGCCTGATCATCACCCAATAGAATCGCTATATAAATAATGGTGCAACCAATACACATGGCAATTGGTTGCTAAAAGTGTAAGGTTTGCTTCATCCAATCCCTACATAGTTTACGATAAGAGCCTGAAACCTAACATGCACATAGCATTCAGTGCACAATTTCACATGAACACAAATGTTTAACCCGAAATAATTCTTACATACTGGTTATACATTTCTATTTACATCCTGGAACAAATATGATAAGTATAGAGTTCAGGAAAAAAAATTGAAACGAGAACTGGTTTTAAGAACAGTAAAGAACGAGAATAGTTTTACAGTGAAACATTAGTAACAACAGACGAATTAAATATTTACATTTAATCAGCAAGGTCTGATTATCATATACAAAGTATAAAGGGACACTAGAAATTCATACCATCAGTAGTACGTGAAAGAGCTCCTGTACTCCTGATACCGTGGAAAACTTTTCCATTGCTTGTGTATGTCAGGGTTCTCCAAGCTTTTTCATTATAGCATGGCGGGTGCTGCCTTTACAGTCCTAGTTGCAAATCGCCGAAGGCGGTTTGCATGCTAGGGGGGTCCGGGGGCTATGATATTTAGAGTCATATGATATATGAGTGGCGGGTGCATTTTAGGATGGCAGGGCTCGACGATAGACTGGCGGGCCGCCAGGCTATAAGTGCTCTTGGAGAACCCTGTATGTGATAACAATTATCTTTACTGTTGCTAGAGAAGAAGTGACAATGCCAACTGTCGTAATGTAAATTGGACTACATGCTATAAATGCTGCTAAAGGTGCCCTACTTAACATGCTGTAACATACGTGTGTAACATGCTCCATAACAGCAGCAGACCATGTACATGATAGCAGACCAGACATATACATGGAATAAGGGCAGTAGTTTTACAGATCCAACAAGCAATGCAAAGAACTTGCAGGCAATATTACATATTGAAACTGTCACAACGATCGTTTCACATCATTATATTTATAAAAACAAAACTGCCAGTTTATAAACGTAATACTACGCTTAATAAAAAGCATTCGAATATAAACTTAATAATTGCAGATACCTAGTGTTTTCACTAATGCACTCGGTTGATGTGCAACTACTATGGAAGCTGCCTGTGCCCACAGCTTTATATGTATATATATATATATATTGCTATCTGGATAATTAAATAGTTTAATGCATAGACCACCCCCAGAAGGGTGCCAGAAACTAGGATCTACACATCTGACTATTAATGGTAATTACACAACAAGCTAGCAGGTACCCTACATCTTAAGTTCTGCAAGAAAATTCAACAGTCGAATCCTCATACGACAAAAGATATCTCTCACTAATTAAGATTATGCTGATTTTAGTCGGGCTGACCCAGACTTCGACGCCATAAGACGTTCAACCATGGTCCTCGCATAGCGCATCCTGCTCGCCAGCTCCCGCGAGCATCCGTGTTCCTCAAGCAGGTTGAATCTGAACGTGCGGAAGTTACGCTTGTCGTCGATGTAGGTGGACGCACCCATTATGGGGCACAGGATGACCTTGGTGTGGTCTTGGAAGAAGTTGATCTGTAAGGTAAGTATGGCATGTTTTTTATGACTTGGGAGATGTATAGGAGACCTATTCAGTGTAGTACGTATACTACACAAAGCATTACTGACTATTACGTAAAAGATTCGGGGTTATTTCTTTATTACAGCAGTTATTTTACTGGCTATATATGGCTCAGTTTTTAAATTACCACTGTCTAGTATGGTAACTAACTACTACTAATAATATAGAGCTCCTTGGAAGTGGTAGCCACAGGGAATGAGCATGGTGGTATACCTGTAGGGTTCCATTACTAAGGTGAAGCACTATCGCACTGCGGGTCCTGAACCAAGTTCTCAGGAATGGCAACCGGGATATGTTGTCAGCATCACGAGGCTTCATGTTCGCCCCAGCCTACATAAAAACATCATTGGTGACTACATGGCACACACTATTGTTATATGTACACAGTCTAACCTGCATATAAGAGTCACTCAAGGGAAAAGCTGAAATTGTCCTTTATAGACTAGCCTATAGAGGTGGGTTCCTAACATTACTGTCACTCTAGGGTAATGCCAAAGGTATCTTTTGTAGACAGATGTTCCTTCTATGTCTGCTATATAAAATATACCCACTGACCTATTACAAGGCATGATTTTGGATCATCTGTTAATTGGAATGTAGGTTTTTATGGTTAAACGTGGTTTTCATTCACACAGGAGTAAGAGATGCAAAGCTGGAACTACCTTGAGCAGATGCTCACTCATGTAATTCCTGAAATACTTGAGCAGTGTCACTTTCTTAGTGAGCATATCTGGGTAGACAGACATTTTGTGGAAGTGTTCAGCACCTTCCTTCTCTATGTACTGCATGGTTCTGAAAACCAAACAAATGTCATTACGAAAACATTTCACTGAAAAGATAAACTAGTAGTGTGTTTATAAACTAGTTAGCTCACATTTGAACTTACCTGACACTACCCCACTAACATTACCAAAGTGATTTTTATGAAACCTAAACGAGATAGAATGTAATACTAACTCTCCATCTTCGTTGAGAACGAGGCGGGTGGAGTCATTGAACAGGACTCCCACACTACCGTCACTCAGCTGGTAACCTAGTCCATACTTGTCCGAGTAGTCGACCCATTTACTGATCCAGTAAATCGGACAAGCTGCAGGCTCCTCTGCCTCATCTAGATGGCATAACAGAAACCCTCATAATTATGCAAGGCTATAATAAGCTGTGTCCATCGATATCACTGATTTGGCCATATACATAGTAAACTTAATTATACAGCATGCATCCTCTGAAAATAGAAGGTGCAGCATTAGATAGAGTGGTAAGCCATTCTAAACAGTCAAGTTGCTTTTTAATCAAGAGATTACTTGCCTTCACGGATGACTGGTTTCTCAGCTGGCTTTGAAGCCATGAGCTGGGTTAGCTGCATATGTAAATCACTCAGCCAGAAGTCTGCAGGCATTTCATCTGAAATTAATAGAGGTAAAACCATGAACAAATGACAAAGCAAAGGGTGAGGCTAATAACATCCTATGAATTTCGTATGTGTTCCCACAAAAACTCAACAACTGATCAGCTATTAAAAGCTTAGTAACTGCACCAGATTACTCGGCAGCATAACATGTACACAATGTTATTGGCTCTTGCAGCAAGGTGACTTGATGCCATCCAATGTAAAATTCCCATGCCTAGCAATAACTGATTTTTTATAGTCAGGTGGCATGTAGGCTGAAACTAATAGTTTTATTTTGAAATATTGACAATGATGATGAAAAGTGCTATATATTTAGTTGCAGGAGAAATTTAAAGGTGCTAACGTGCATAAGGCTTACTAATATATACAAGTCCACATAATTTAATTTAATTCTATGAGCAAAGCCTCAAATGCCTAGGCTTACTTCCATCATCCTGCCTATCAGACTGTACTTTGCCTGATTCGCCTCCTTCTACCTTGTTCTCTCCATCCCTCTTGTGGGCAGTTATGGCTTGCTCAGCACTTCCTAGATGAAGAAACATGCCTACCATGTAATCACGGTACCATTAATGTGATTTGCGTCACCGAGTATGATAGGAAAGCATAGGGGTGATTGACGCCTGGCAGGGGGAATAGTATGAACGTTAAAGCCATCCCACCATCCTTTTTATTAATTAATAAAAATTAATGAATTATTTAGTCATTTAATAATTCATATAAATAATTATATATAATACAATATTTATATAACAGAATTATTTAATATATAATATAATTATTATATAATCATAATTTATTAAATCATTTAATAATCGATATATGTTTTTCGGTATGGTAGTTCACCTAATAAAAACAGTTTTTAGTAGACACATAGCTAAATATGAAAAATAAAGCCATGTAGACAATATACCTTACCTTGACTGTTCACATCGCCTAGTGGCTTCCTACTTATTGGCTGGCCCATTGAAGATATGCTAAGTGCAAACCTTGGTGCTGTTGACAGGCATGACGTTGGTAGGGTAGTTGGCAAGAAACCTTTGGTAAATGACAAACACAGTAATGGTAAGATTTATGGCGCTTTAGGCGAAACCAAGATATTTGTTTGGTATAATGACAAAATTGACAAATTTGTTACACATTTTTCCTGGTGACATTAATTGCCTTATTATGCTTGGCACAGGTCATTATTTTTAAATTGGCATTAGAAGAACCACAAGTGATACATGCACTGTGCATCAAGCAGCTATAGCAGTAGGCTGATTAATAATTTAGTCGAGGCAATAATACAAAACGCACAACTATATCTAATTAGTAATAGCATATGAATGCACCCGAAAATAATAAATGTACCAGTAGAGAAGAAATCGTGATCAAGTATCTTAGACACAGAAGGCCTGGCTCCTGGGTCAGCTTGTAGCAATTGGTCAATCAGGTTCTTGGCCAGTGGCGACACTCTGGATGGGACGTGGTACTCATTCTTTTTGATACGCATATAGGTCTCCTTCAGAGAAGCTGTCTCAAATGGTGGCTTTCCAACCAACAGCGTATAGCTAGCATGCAAAAGATTCAGCATATTTACATTATTAAGGATACACGGTTTTATGCAAAATTTCATTGATTTTTTATTTCCATTCTTATTCGATGGCTAACATTAGGTGCCACTTCTGTACATGCCTATTTCTCCATATACCAATGCATGTGAACTTTTTGATTACCCATGTACGTGTGTTGTGAGCTGAGGCCTGTGAGCAGGAACTCGTAATAATTTTTATGCTGAAGGAATCAGTAGCATATAGGCTGACAGGTGAGTCTAAACTTAGTTTTCAGTTTATTTGAGAAATGGCCAGGTTAAAACAAAGACTTACAACAGATACTTAAACATATTACCGATATTTATATATAGATCACATGTATATTCAGTTATTCACATGTATGTGCATGCACAAACCAGTTTAAATATGATGCAATGATTTCAAGTACATTAAAGAGCAACTTACAGAATGCATCCTAAGGACCAAACATCAACCTCATAACTGTGACCCTTCTTCGCAAGCACCTCGGGCGCAATGTAGTTTGGTGTTCCACACAGTGTCCTGCAAAGCAGTAAACCATTAGCAAGGCCTCTCTACTACACATACATTCTCAACTGGTCAACATATAATATGTCATAAAAAAGCTAAAAGGACTTTTATATGATATCTTGTTTACTGTTACTCACTTCTTTCGCTCTCCGTCATAGTCCAATTTCGTTGCCAGTCCAAAATCGCCTATTTTGATCTCCATCGTGTCATTGAGAAAGAGGTTACCAAGCTTTAGATCTCGATGGATGACCTTATTCTCATGAAGGTACTTAACACCAAGCAATGTCTGGTGAGTAAAGTACCGTGCTTCTGGCTCTGTGATTGCCTTTCTTCTCTTGTGCAGCTCCATCAGTGACTACAAAGTATTTTTTGGGGTTATAAACTATACACACCTACAGATACGAACTGAAACCACTAGGAAGTAATTATAAGCTGTTAGGTTTGAAATGTCCTTTTCTAGTTCAATGTTCCTACAGAATATTAACTAATGATAAAGTCATGCTCATGGAGTGATTCTATTTAGGAGGCTCATTGTGGACATTTCTGTCTACTATTACTAACTCTAGCTTTTTGTTATCTATATAAATGCAAGCAATGTAATAAATTTAAAGATATTGTATATCTCACTCTTTTGGTGCACAACTCCAGGAGAATGTACACATTGTCATCGTCTTCAAAGAAGCTTCGAAAGCCAACAACATGATGATCCTTTAGACTTCGATGAATTGCAATCTCCTGAGTCATCTATTCAGTCATAATAAACATGTATATATGCTTGTATTTATCAGATTTTTTCTCCATGAAAAAGACTGTCTTCAGCACATGTACTTGTATTTGAATTACATGCAAATTTTTTTAAATAATAATCATAATCATAAGTCTAATTTAATGCTCATTTGACTTGTCAACAATCAATAAATAATAATAAAAACATTAAAACTTAATACATTGCCATGCTTATAAGAATGCTAATTTAAAACGACACACACATGCTTCACTTGTTTTACTGTGCCAGGATGTGCTAGAGTAATGTGCTACACAGTGCTACAGTGCTACACAGTAATGCTGTTCGATACACTAACAGATAAAGTAATTAACCCACCTTCTCTTTTTGATGTGGCTTCACTAGAAGTGCCTTTGACACAATTTTTCCTGCTAGGATTTCTTTTGTGTCAGGATCCACAAGCTCATAACATTTTGCAAATCCACCCTGATTAAAAATAATATGACGTTAGGAAAGCCTGGATACGATAGAGCAATTCGTGTGTATTTTATAGTACATGTATGTAATACTTGTACATGTAACACGTATTGTTTCCATTATACTTGAGTATCGGTATCACACACCACCTTGGTAGCCGTGGCTAAGATTGAACTGGCTGAGGCCGCGAGGCCTGAGCTCAAAAAATCACTCTTTAGACTTACAAACTCAGGGGCGTGGCCGCGTGTACCAATCTGGGTGGGCGGCCAGGGTCTAACCGTAACCCAAACTTGCGAGCACGCGAAGGGGTGGTCTGGGGGCCATCCCCCAGATATTTTTTTTAATTAGACCCCCTTAGATGCGTTTTCTGCGCGAGCAGGGGGGAGGGTCCGGACCCCCTGGACACCCCCTGTACATGCCCCTGAAACTACATAGTTTGTTTTGTAAATTTAAAACAATTTATACATCAGGCCCGTAGCCAGGGGGAGGGGGGGTCGAACAAACCCCCGCTGCGAACAACGCCCCTCAAGCAAAAAAAAAAATTGAAAATTTGCAAGAATTTCACCTCAGGTCGCTCCATTTTAGTGTAATAATTGTAAAATCTCCATCGTGCGGGAGGTTGAACAGTGAACAACCCCCTCCCACACCTCCCCCCGCTCGGTCGCTTGGCTCCCTCGCCTGGTCGCTTCGCGCCCGAGCAGGGGCGTGTACAGGGGGGGTCCAGGGAGTCCGGACCCCCCCTTGCTCGCGCAGAAAACGCATCTGAGGGGGTGTAATTTAAAAAAATTTCCAGACCCCCCCTTCGCGTGCTCGCAACTTTGGGTTACGGTTAGACCCTCCTGGTACAAATCCTGTACACGCCCCTGCCGAGCAAATTACAAACATTGAAAAACGAACCCCCCCAATATAAAGCTGGCTACGGGCCTGATACATTATACTTTTATAGTCATATATGTAAGTATAAGTAAACAATTATTTCGTGTAGTGAATGTATCAAAAGTTAAACAGTAACGATTCTACACCAAAACGAACTAGTCCAGCTCAGTTGCGCTTGCAGGACAGGAAAAATTATTCCATAATCAATGCTGGCCTCATAACAATGTTGGACTGGTAATGATACCGTACGTTGAACTGGTAATGATACGTTGAACTGGTAATGGGTTGAACTGGTAATGTTGAACTGGAAATGATAAGGATCATTGAAAATGTAGCTAGATATTCGTAACTGATAACAGACGCCAGCCATTGAAAAACGATCTTGTGATCTACTTCTAATATAAGGACAGTAAACGTAAAAACTACCTAGATGCATATTGTCTTTTATTGATATAGTAATTAGTATCGCGTGCCGAGTTGAGTTTGCAATCTCGGTTTCATTTTTAATATTTCCAGACATATAAACGTTGCTCACCTTTCCCAAATAGCGACCACGAGCATATCTTTTTCTTGACTTTGGATCGAGTACCACATCTGGAACATCCTTAACCTTTAGATCTGGCTTACTCGACATTTTGATCAAAATAATTCACTACAGTGATTCTTTAGCAGCGAAATAATACAACCTTGTTCTCCAGTGCCGCTTTCAAATTTGACCACACAATCGTTATAGTTGACGTACGCGCTGATTGGATAGTATGCCAATAAAATCCGTTCGGTGATTGGCTCAATATTTAAACATCCCTAGTGGCCTTTTCTTGAACTGTTGTCATTTAACTCGCGGCAGCTCGCGGCCACGATTTCTGTGTCGGTGATTCTGATTCGGCAGCATTCCAAGCAATATGCGAATTAGAAAGACGAACACAACTAGTATTAGGTTCTTTAAAAATGGCGATGCTAGCGGAAAAGAGAATCAAAACGCGATATTCGAGAGACCCTAGAAATACTGCGTGGGCAAATGGTAAGACTAAGAGATTACTAAATCCGAGACCCGGTCAATGTCTCGACAATGTCTCTGATTCATCGTAAGGCAAACATAGCAAAATTAATGTCGTAAAACTGAAAATCAACTGACACTGGAGTCTGAACTGAGGCAAATCACAATCAGTGAATCACCTGACTGTCTAGCTCTAGTACTATAGCCCGCTTACATTAACTGCCGCTGGCAGCGCTGGCCAGCAGCAGTTAATGTAAGCGGGCTATAGTACTAGAGCTACTGACTGTCATGAGTCATGACACATCGACGCTAGCTCTAGTACTATAGACTAGTCCGCGTACACGGTACAGTTGCCGCAGGGACGTACTACTACTACTACTACTACTAGTACTAGAGCTACATCGACGCATGTAGATACAATAATGTAACCCAACACAAGAGTAGCTCAGTAGGGTTACAACACCAGCCTATTCTTTTCTTTGGAGGAGCCACTGAGTGATTCACTCAGGGCGGTTTTATGACATGCGTCTAAAGACTAAACAGAGGAATTGCTCCGGCCTGTGATTGGAGGATAAAAATAGAATTCGTGACGTTTCGTTTCACCGGTCATAGCCGCGCGTGCATATTTGCTAATTAATTAGACTAATCGCGCTTCAATAGACTCAAAATTCACAGAGATTAAATAAGGCTAAGACATGTGTCTATAATAAGCTTTATCTCCAATCGGAACAGCAATGCGTCATGGGATAGGAAAAGGGGCATTACTAGCGCCGCCGCTGCCACGAGCGGTTAGCAGCCGGCTGCACGCAATAGTCGTCAGTATGCATGCGCGATACTGTTCGCATATATTTGTACTTTAGTACCCTTTCCTATCGCCCATAGCCGTGCGTATAGCCGGCTGCACGCAATCGGCGCCTATGCGCGATACCGCTCGCATATATTTAGTAATTAATTAGACTAAGTGTGCTTCAACAAACTGAAAATTCACAGAGATTATAGCTAAGACATGTGTTTATATATTCATCTAAATTTCTAGAAATGTAATTCAACTCATTCGTGAGATATGATAGTTAGTACCCTTTCCTATCGCCCATAGCCGTGCGTATAGCCGGGTTACACGCAATATAGGCGCCTATGCGAGATACCGCTCGCATATATTTGGTAATTAATTAGACTAATCGTCAGTGTTGTAGTTGAGTCCGCACCCCCCAAGTCCGAGTCCGCACCCCCCCGAGTCCGAGTCCGAGTTCGCGCCACCCGAGTCCGAGTCCGAGTCCACACCACCCGAGTCCGAGTCCGAGTCCAGTTTTGATTAAAAAAAAAGAGGAAAAATCGGAAAAAGGAAAAAAATCGGGAAAAAAGGGGAAAAAGGGAAAAAAACGCAACAGTACATCGTAGACATTCGAAAGTGTATAGTCAACCGAAAACACAGAGACACGGGTCATACGAAACGTGTCAAAGTAACCGATCCATTTGTGTTTTACGAGAATGACACGGCTTGTTGAAGCAAATGAGAGAGTGCTAGTACCTTCGAAGTGGTAGAAGAAGAGAAAGAAGTGGTAGAAAAAGCGCAAAGGGACGAAGTGACAGCAGATTCAAACCAAATTAGGGAGAAGAATCTTTATCGAGCCATTGAAAACGTTAGAAGATTGGGCGTGTATCTAGAAAACCTAGGAGTTTTAGTTTTAAATTCTTGTAAACTGCGTGTTACAATATGTACAGTTGTGTACTATGTGTGTAGTGGCCTCGAGCCGGCCTCGACCCGAGTCCTCGAGTCCGGAGGGCTCGAGTCTGAGTCCGAGGCCAAGACCGAGACTGAGACCAAGGAAAACTGTTCGAGGCCGGTCTCGAGGCCAAGACCGGCCTCGAGACCTACAACACTGCTAATCGTGCTTCAACAAACTGAAAATTCACAGAGATTATAGCTATAAGACATGTGTCTATATTCCTCTAGATTTTTAGAAATGTAACACAACTCGTTCGCGAGATATGATAGTTAGTACCCTTTCCTATCACCCATATAGCCGTGCGTATATTACCTATGAGCGCCGATCGATGCCCCCTTTTCCATCCCATCATGCTTTGCGGTGGTGCGCCATCTGGTGATATTTACCGATTAGCAATAAGGTCTATAGCTAGAATTTATAGAAATGTAACTCAAATCGTTCGCTCCAATGATATATACAGGGATGGGATTTGACAGTCCCAGGGGTTGTTTTTGTGAAACGTCTAAATTCGTTGAGAAAATTGGGAGGGGGGTAACAATGTAACAATTTAAATTATATACCCTCAACAGCACCTGACTGTAGACTGTAGAGTGTAGACAGTAGACTGACAGCGAAGTATACAGTATATCTGTTTTTGCGTACCAGAAAAGAAAATCCTCGTTCAAGCTGATACACGTTTAACGAACCAATGCTGGCCTGGGCCGGGTTTACATGTTGCTCGTGTGGCATGATGTGATCACTGATGTTGTTCCAGATTCGCATTGTGTTTTTTCAGAAAAATATCATTATGTCTAGAAATTTAATAAAAAAACTTGCCCTATTTTCAGCCCCCTGATTTCCTATTCATAGTTCGTTTGTTCCTTTTGACAACTTGAAAAGGTGATTCAAGAGTCTCCCATAATGTGTTCAGAATAGCTTGGAATGCACCAAATTGCACCATTCTTTTAAAAAAAACTACGGTTTTCGCATTGCTCACTCCTCTGTTTGCTAATTTCAATTTCAGCTGAAAATTTAATTATCCAATCTCATCCCTGTATATAGTTACCTACACGTGCCTACCGGTCATAGCATAGCGTATGCGGCGGGAGAGGGCGAGGTCGATTTTTATGACTTTTATCCTCCAATCACAGGTCGGAGCAATTCCTCTGTTTAGATGCATGTGTTTTATGGTGCGTTTTTGGAGACTAGAACTTCCAAACTGGGTTTATTCTAAACACGAACCTTTCTCCACTATCCTGGGACTTACTATGTATCACAATACTCTGTATTAAACTAATATAACCTGTTACAAAATTTCGAAGCGACGAGCGGCGATATTTCGAGCGCCACTTCTGGTGACCTGTGACGCTGGCTTTCCCAATGTGCATAGCGATCAGCAAACTTCGATTTGAAGAGCGGATTCACCGACCAATCGGAGGGCTCGCAGCGCACTAAAGCCTGACCGAAGTTTGCCGATCGTTACGCACATTGGGAAAGCCAGCGTCACAGGTCACCAGAAATGGGGCTCGAAATATCGCCGCTCGTCACTTCGAAATTTTGTAACAGGTTATATTAGTTTAATACAAAGTATTGTGATACATAGTAAGTCCCAGGATAGCGGAGAAAGGTTTGTGTTTAGAATAAAACCAGTTTGGAAGTTCTAGTCTCCAAAAACGCACCATAAAACCATCCTGAGTGAATCACTCAGGGGCTCCTCCAAAGAAAAGAATAGGCTCGCGTTGTAACCCTGCTCTTGTGTTGGGTCACATTATTGTATCTACGACGCATGCTGCATATGATATCGCTGGCGGCATGTCACGTGAACATGAAGTGCACTGCAGCATGCTGTCATGATATTTTTAGCTTGATGAAGCTGTTGTAGAATGGCATGAGCATCCGTACGTCCGTGTGATGTTGTGTTCATCAACAATATGGGAGCAAATCTCAACGCCGCTCGACGATTTATGAACTGCATTGATATTCGAGACAGCCTAGTTGTAGTATAGCCACTATAGGGGGCGCAATCCGAAAAGACATTGCCATTGGCATGCCTTTGGCATTGCATTGGGATGTCGAATCACTGGGGGTCAAGGATCAGAAGTTAGAAAGGGGAAGGAAGGGGGAATATTCCCCCTCAACTTAAACTAACTATTGCAAGATTTTTGTTCAGAAAAACTAAATATAGCTGAATATAGTCTCACCTGACAGCGGAAATCACTGAAATAGTATCACTGATTACACCAACATTAAAAATACTAAGATTTTATGCAGTTAAAATGGATTTTACCACATCGTAACAGCAATAAATTTTATCGTATGCCGATAATGCCTAATGGCAGAATTGGTAAACTAGTAGTAGTATTTGTGTCGGTGATGAATTGAAAACAAGTGCATGATTTGAGAGAGCCTGTACTATGTCTACGGCAGATAAGCGGTGGCGCCACAAGCTAATCCATACTTCCGCCTAGTTCAAGATAACAGGAAACGATTGTTTACAAAAACGAGTAGGTCGAAACTGGCACTTTTTTGGTGAATACGAATGTTCTAAGACATTCTAAGAATGCCTGGACTGACCAGCCCTGCTCGTGAGTGCCAGTGATATGCAAATCAGTAGCCAGTTTCTGCATTATAATTTGTATGGAATTCCCTACTTTCTTTGCAACTAAGCCGACCCAATTAGTATGAATTTTGATTGTGCAAACATCACAAACCTGCACAACTAAACTTATCAGGAATCGTGAGGAAAGATGGGTGCTGCCATCATTTATATTGACCCACGTGTTTGAAATTGGGTATAGTTGTTACTGCTATGCTCCCATATTGAACGTCCTATT